GAAACAAGCTATATGAATGGTTGAATGTGAAGCTGATGATGTGCCCTGTAAACTTTCACTCAATGCAAAATAAAAACATTTAATTAAAAAAAAAACAAACTTACAAACCAAGTAACAAGAACAGCACAGGGTAAACAAGCATAGTGACCGCCACCCTCGGGCATGGGGACACACAGAGGACTGCGGGTTAGCAGGCTGGTGTGGCGCTCTAGGGTAAGCACTAGACTGCAAGGTCAGTTTGAACTGCAAAGTTGACGGTTCAAACTCACCAGCCGCTCCTTCGAAACCCTCTACAGGGTCGTTATGAGTCGGAACTGACTCAACAGTACTAAAAACACTTGTTACGTTCTGTCGAGTGCTACAGCGCCACACCAGGGCTCCCTAACAACAATAGGACCGGGCTAAGAGGCATGTCCCCCAGCAGTGCCTGGCTCACACCCAGCTGCCAGTGCCCTGCAAAGCCAGAGGAAGGGGCACTGACTGGAGCTGGACCCTGAGGGTGTCCAGATGTCTGGGGAAGAGCCCCTGCCTGCATTTGGGGTGCTCAGAGGGGGGAACCGTGGTACCAGGGCCTCTGACTGGACCCCTCAGGAAGGGCCTGGTCTTCAGTCACTCTGCCACTCCTTGAGGTGACCATCCTTGTCCAGTTCCTGTTGGCCCAAGACACCGGCTCAGGGCTCAGGCTCCTCAGCCCTGGGCCATATCCTGTCTTCACCAGGCTCTGAAGCCCTCTCCACCCCCGATTCCCTTTCTCTACTTCATCAGCCTGGCCACTGTGTCCCCTTCCCTAGGAAGGTGCATGGGCTGAGCTCCAAACCTCAGGGGGCTGGACATAGCTGCTTTTGTGTGAAGTGTAGGTGCTGACCACAGCGTCTGGCCTGCAGGGGTTAGCAGTGGACATAGGGTGTTTGCAAGGGGCCATAAACCCCTCTTAGAGGTGGGAACCAGGGGTCTTGGTGGTTTTCCTCTGTCCCTCAGGCGGGGTCTTCAGTAGGAGGAGGCAGCAGGAGCAGCCCACCCCATGTTCTAAGGAGGGAGTTACCCTCCTGGTCAGCTGTGAATGGGAACTGGTCACCCCTTGTCACTGGACCCTCAGTATCCACAGATTTTGAGCTGTGCAGCTGCCAAAGGGTCCAGCCCTGGAGGAATGGCCACTCCTGACTCCCCTTCAGTGCCGCTGTCTCCAGGGTAAAGGCCACCTGCCAGATAGCCCTTCCCTCACTGCCCCATCCTCCACAGCCAGGATGGTCCAACCCCTGAAATCACTGGAATGGGAAAGGTAGGGCTCACCTAGTGGCCCCAGGCTCCAGCTACACCTAGATTCACACTGGTGGTCACAGTGCCGCTCCTGGTCTCCCAAACAGCCCTTCAGATACATCTGGGTCTTCAGACCACACCCCAAATCCAGCCCTTCCCCAAATGCCCTCCCTCCACTTCCATCCTCCTCCATGT